TGTTCTTGATGACTCCCTGGGTCAGGGCGTAAGTGACGCCTGTAATATTGAACTCTTGGGCACGCGTAAGAGCCTTTTGGTACAGCCAGGACACATGGGTAGTGTCGTCCTTGTCCAGCTTTGGAAACGGCTTCTCCTGGTCCCAGGCGATGACGTGTGCCCACTCAATGCAGTGCTCTGGTTGTCGGGGGATTGAGGCGATTGTGCAGAGAGGAACAGCGGCTCTCGGTGCGTGCATGTCCAGTTGGCATTCGATACAAGATGTAATCGAAGGTACGATGACTCGAGCCTGACCCTTAAAACCCTCTGTGCCCCCATCTATCATGGGAATCAATGAATCCGGGTCCTCGCCTTCTTCAGCAATCTGTACGAGGGTCGCATTGATCCACCTGCGGGCCTCGATGCTGTCCAATCCACATATGACGAACTGGAATTGTTTGTAGAAGTCTTGACCAAAATCTTGAATGGCGCAGTTATGGGCTGTAATGTTGACACCCTTGACACGACGCATGACGAACTGAGCCGCGACTTCAGCCTTGTACTTGCCGACGTCGGACTTTCTGAAGAGGAATTGCCGATTTAGGTTCGAGATGTCGATAGTATCTGGCCAAGCAAATGTCAGATCTTGAGTAGAGCGGCGAGACAGGGTACGGCTTACCCATGTCAATGACATGAATATCCTTGAACTTCGACATGGCCAAGTTCTTTAAAATCTCACATCCAAGACCTCCGGCGCCACTTGTATAATGTCAGTCGTAGTTATCGTGTTCGAGTAGGGGATCACCAACATTACCCTACACGATGTGTTAGTAGACAGCACCGACTCATTGGATCATGCAATACCATACAAGACCTTGATCTTGTCAAACTGTTCAAAAGCCTCCTCTGTTCCGGCCACATCAGGGTCGCTGAAGGGTCCTGGGGTCTTGCGAATGTTGTCGAGATAGGTCCTGTACCATGCTATGGTCAGCGATTGAGTGCGACAACTGACGGCTTGTAGCATGAGAGGCGAACCATCTCTTTGACTCATCGACTTGATGTGCCGCTACCGGGAAAGGTGCTTCGGTAGCCATCGTGAGGAGCGTTCGAATCGGATTGACTTGTAGGTGATGTTCGGTGTGATCACTTTGTTGTTTGTTCCTTGGGTTCTCAACCAGGGTGAGCTTCGGGAGGTGGAGGGGCCGACATGGCGATACCTACCTATATAGGGCCAGGTGAGCAGGTACCTTACCTTATGTCCGTGCCTGATAAGGCTTATCGGCAGAATTGTTATCGATAAGATGCCTGCCTCAATGGAAACCTTGCCTACCTTACCTACCTTACCTAACTAGGAACCTACCGACCTTGGGGCCTTCTATGGGGGTGTCTACAGTACAGTGGGGTGTGGAAAGACGACCCCACCGGTCCTTCACTTTTGGGCTTGGGTGTCTGTCCATCCATTCATAGAGGCAGTTGGGGGACATATTATTCCTAACCAACAGAACTCCCATCTGATATTGCAATCACAACTCGGAGCAATCAGCGAAAATTATTTCGACACTATTCTGGATTTTCGGCCTTTGAGGTGACAGTTTGAGAAAGCCCTTTTCATTTTCTCACGATACCATGCAAGGACCGTAGTCCACCACCAGAAAAGGGATTATCAAGCATGGACGACTTCTTTACCCCGGTCAGCACTACCTACCTCAAGGCAAGGCCAAACGAACCATTCTTGGAAGAAGCAGCCACAAGCAATAAGCCTCAACCACCGAAATCTGCTGCTGCCGAAACTCTTTCTGTAGAGAATGCTCTAGAGACTCTGAAGAACCAGCCAGGCTATGACAATCTGATTGGGGTCCTCAAGTCCCTCACTGATGGCAGTGTTGCTGCAACGGGATTCAGGCTTGCGACGCCCAGTCCCGAGGCTGCGCAAATTATTCAGTGCCTCGTCTCGGAGATTGTTCCCAACTACTGGCCTTTGCTCAAAGAAGATGCTTCTGGAGGATCTGGTATACAAGATGTCGATAGCCCCAGAGACGTCGAGTTGCTGCTTAGATGCTTGAGGAGTGTTACAGGTCTCAACGCCATCATCACCCGTATGAAGGCCTTGATCCAAGAGTCCAAGGCGAGCGCCAAGGATGTAAAGCGCCCAGATTTGAGTCTGAACCTGAACGTGCTACTCGAGGTCAGCTCAGCAGTATTGGGTGGGGACGACTACCTTGCTGCACTATGGGCGTCGAGCAGCGCTGGGCTAGAGTCTACGGCGAGAAGACGGCCGATGGCGAATGAGTTCATCGCACTGATAGCCGGTGGACGCCTTATTTCAGTTGCAGCCGAGGCAGATGCCATTGCTAACCCGGACAAAATCAAGAAGAATCAACTTTGGATCGCAGACGGGCAACAATACAGCAGGTGGCTGGGTCGAAGTGTCGGAGCGTGGGCGAGGGGTGGCAACTCGTCTGACGATGCGAAGCTATGTGCAGAGGCTTTCATACGATCACTTCGCCTGGGCTATTCTGGCAAGTACACCATCCTCTACGCCATCCCTTCGGTAGCTTGAGGAATGTCACTAACAGATTTGTAGATGCCCTGATGAACCAGTTTATCAGCGAACTTCTGTTAGGCCCTGAGGAAAGCCAAAACGCCTTCTTCAAGCTCTTTGGCCAATTCTCTCAACTGGAGCAGAAGCGGGTCCTCTTAGCTGTTCTCAAGCACTTGTCAGAGACATTTCTCAATAAGCTGGGCGATGTCGAACCTATGAAGCCGAACTCGGTTATATCCGCTGCGACTGGCATCATCGAGAGGATAGTGTCTAACGAAGAAAGCCGAAAGGCACATTTAATCTCTTGGTTGACCAGCTCAACTGGTGCCGGCCTGGGAGATGGCATAGGTATCAGGCGCGCAGCCATAGCAGCGCTTGCACAGGACAGAGAATGCGTCACTCAGGTATTTGAGAAGAGCCTTCACCAGTTCGGCGATCAGCTATACATTAAGCACTCTCCCATCATGCAGCAGCAAGGTTCGACTCTCTCACCTTTGTCACTCTCTAGCACTCACTGACTAGGACAAAGCCCATGCACAAGTTCTTCTCCTTAGCGCTAGTTATGTCAACAAGCTCTCACCCCTGAAGCTTAAGATGCTCATGCGATCTTCAAGCTACCTCAACACCGTGTCCAACCGGATCGGCGCCTCACAAGAGAGGGCTAGATTCTTGGGTATGGCAGTGGGCGAGGCCCTCTCGAGTCTGATCGACGGTGGTGACAAGAAACTGGACTTCAAAATGGAGGAAATGGCAACAGACGAGGCACAGTTCTACAAGGATCTCGTCAGAACGCTGGATAGTACAGGGCCTATCGATCAGTTGATCACCACCCCTGAGGTGGAGCAGAAGAGACAGCCACAACCGCCGGGACCCTCCCGCCGAAACCCAGCACCAAAACCCAAGCAACCAGCCGCGCCCTCAAAGTTCATCATACAAGAAGTCTCAGACTCCGAAAGCGAGGACGAGGACCTCATACCCTACGCCAAGCCCTCCGACGATGCAGAAGACTCAGACGAAGATGCCACGCTCGTCCGCCGCGACAAGCCAAGAGCTCCAGTCTACGTCCGCGATCTCATAACCTACCTCCGCGACACTGACAACTACGACAAGCAAAAACTGGCCCTCACCACAGCCCCGCCCCTGATCCGTCGCAAAGCGAACTTTGGCACGGAGGTCTCCTCCCATGCAGACGAGCTCGCCACGCTTCTCGTCGGCCTCCAGGACAAGTTCGAGATTGAAAACTTCAATGACCTCCGTCTTCAGGGCATGATAGCCATCGTCGCAGCACAGCCACAGAAGATGGGCCAATGGTTCGCAAAGACCTTCTTTGACGGCGACTACTCCATCTCGCAGCGTGCCGCGGTTCTCATCGTTCTCGGCCTCAGCGCGCGCGAGCTCGCCGGCTTCGACACCTCGGAATACGCTGCAGCCGCCTCGTTCCCCTCCAAACGCCTCCCGGAGAAGATGGAAGCGCTCTACCTCGACCCGTCCACCGCCCAAGCCCGCCTCGCCTCCTCGTCGAACCTTAAGGCCATTCCCGCCAACGCCCTCGACACCATCGCCGATTCTTTGACGTCTTCCTTCCTCGCCCCCATAGCCGCCAACGCAGCAGACGCAACAACGGGACCAGACGTCCTCAAGCTCTCGACCTTCGCCTCCCGCCTCCCTTCAAAGTCCACCAAGAAACCCGGCATCCGTTCCATCCCCAACACAACGGCCTCCCTGCTCGCCACCTCCTTCTTCTTCCCTTTGACGGCCCGCTTCCAACACGCCCTACGCTCCCACTCGGCACGCTCCGGTATCTTCATCCAGCCGTACCTCCTCTCCCTCTACCTAAAGACACTGGCCGTGCTCGTCCACGCCGCGGGACCCGCGACGCTGGCCCTCCCGCAGATGACGGCCGAGCTTTGGGATCTTCTGCTGGGTGTCCGCGCCCACGTCAACGGCGACGTACCCGGAACCCACGCGCTGCTGGTTGCGCTGGCGGCCATGCTCGAGGTCAATGAGGCGTCTGACATGCGGCGCTTGTGCGAGGCGCATCCGCGGGAGGTCGTCGAGACGCAGGAGTGGGTCAGTGGTGTCTTCAACGGCACGCGCGGTGACGATGGCGGGGAGGAGAACAATGTGAAGATGCTCTCTGCCGCGGTGCTCATCAAGCTGCAGGAGGCAACGGAGAAGTATCGGGCCCTGTTGCTGGGCGACATGATAGGGTTCTCATAGAGTACGATAGAGCAGGGAGATACGCTCTCAAAAGGAATGGATGTCATTTTTAAAAACGATATCTGACATGGGCCCTTCTCGTTCGAAGCAAACATTGCCCATGCCAACCTAGCATCCAACTTAGAGTAGTCATACATGTCCCTCGTCAACAATCCATACCCCTCTAACGCCGATGCTCCGTGAATACATAAGCAGGTCCTTTCCGTATTTTCATGCTGCTTTCCATGTATACAAGACAAAGCCAAACGTACCAAACCCATCAAGTGGATTCACCCATCAGGTCCTGTAGGTCCTGTCTTCCGCCCTTACGGACAGGTAGCGTTGACAGGTACTGGTTTGCGTGACTTAGATGCTCACCCAAACTCATCGCCATTCTCCTCAACTCTTCCTTCACAGCGTCTGCACTAGCTGAGCCTTGCATGACCTCCACAGACGGCGGCGCTGGTGGAGGAGGCAGCGGGATAGTGCCACTGTCCCGGTTCCCTACCGAGCGTGGGATACCCGGGGGCAGGGCTGGCTGGGCGGCCTGCTGTGGAGTCAGATATTCGGGATCAGAGTAGTCGGCACTGTTGACGCTGTTGAATGAGCGATGTGTGTTCAGTCGCAACCCGCCCTGGCCATTGGGCCGAACGGTAGCACCGGGCTCGGCTAGGTTGAGGTCGACGAGGCTTAGTTGATCATCGTCTTTGGGAGCGCGCGAGGAGAAGTCCGAGTCATCCGAAACATAGATTGACGGTTCTCGGTTCGATGATGGTACATATAGAGATGGTTCTCTATTCGATACTGGGACGTAGATGGAAGGTTCCCGGTTTGATGTGGGCACGTAAAGGGAGGCATGACGCTCCAGGTCGAAGGGGTTCGCCATTCCCATCTCTGAACCGCTGACAGATGCGACGTCCGAGTTTGCTGTTGAAGGACGAGTGAGCTCCGGCATGGGATCGGCCAAGCCCATGTCGAGGTCGATCAAGCTGCCGGTAGATACACGGTTATTCTGGTTACTGGGAGGCGGAACCATAAGTTCATCCAGATCTATCAAGCTCCCCGTGGACTCTCTGTTGTTCATCTGTGAGCCAGGCCGGGGAACCATTAAGTCGCCGCCATAGTTAGGAGCGGGGACAGGATCGGTCTGATGGTGGAACATTTGCGGGCGAGACGCAGAACTTGGTCCCGAATGGTCATCCCACGATGGCCTATCTTCGTGGAAGGGGCGATCTTCGTTAAAGGGAAACCTCGACATTTCCGGGTTTGCGGAAGCCGGAGGTGCCATGGAAGGGAACTTCCAGTCCTGTGTCCTTCTATTCGGATTCAGATCTGCAGGGTCACTCGATGGTGCTTTGCTGAAGTCTGGCTCGTCGCCCATATGATAATCGACAGACACGCGCGGTGCGCCGGCTCTGATGGTGTTCATATCCACAAAGTTGGATAGATCACCACCGTGCAGTGAAGCGTCGAGATCGATGAGTGATTCTCTCACTGCTGTTGACTGGAGCGAGTCGTCTCGTAGTGGAAGATCTGAAGTTGGCGGAGGGATCGGTCTGCCATAGTAGGCTCGAGAGTTGTCTTCGTAATTAGAAATAGTGTTTGGGTCAAACACCTTTTCCAAGGGAGCTTTCATGGCAGCAAGTTGTTGTGGTGGCGGTCTCCGCCGCGATTTCGGCTTGGATCGAGACATGTCATCCAGAAGCATAGGGTCGAATTCCACGTTTGAGCCATACACATCGTAGACTGCCTGAGCGTCCGTATTTTGGAAGACTTGTTGGTCGAATGCCATCGTTGTGCTAAAGTTCCATTCGTCGTTGGCCATCGCAGTGGATGAAAAGTCGGACTCATCCATGCCAGACATGCCCTGGGCTCCTCCCGGAGCAAAGAGTGATTTACGGCTGCCACCTTGTGACTCCCAAAGCTTGAATCCTCTGACTAGTAATGCCAGTGATGCTGCTGGGTATTCTTGGGCCGAGTTGGCGATGTAAGGGTGGTTCTGTACCTCTTCGATTGTTGGTCGCTTCGTCGGATCCTCTTCTAAGCAGTAGGCAACTAGGTGCTTTAGTCGGTCGGAGTACTGATCGCCCTCCAATCGAGGCGTGTGTGCCTTGATGTAATTTCCAAGCTGATAAACGTCGACACCAGCCATGACGTTTGGTGGTAAGCCGGAGGCAATCTCAAAAACCATGGAGCCGAATGCCCAGATATCCACCTCTGTTCCATAGGATGTTGACTGATCGAAAAGTTCCGGGGCCATCCAGTGAGGGGTTCCGATGAAGGTTGATCGTTTATCGAATTTCGTCTCAATAACACCTGCCACTCCGAAATCGCAAAGTTGCACTCCACCAGCCTCGGTGACCAGAACATTGGCGCACTTGATGTCGCGATGAATGATGCCTTGCCGATGAACCCAGAAGACAGCTTCAGAGACCTCTCTGAGGATTGGAATAATCCACTTCTCTTGCAGGCCACCGGGAGCGGTCGGCTTCATGAGTGTAGCCACACTTCCTCCGGCGCAGTATTCCGTGATCATCCACATAGATTGGCCGACAGGCAATGCGTCGATGACATGATTGATGTTCCTTGCTCCGCTGTCGCTTAGAAGCTTCAGCGCATTGACTTCAGCCAAAAATTCCTTGAAGGTGTCTGCAAGCTTCGGGTTGACGGTGTCGCTTTCTTCAATGTCGATGATTTTGACCGCCACAAGCATACTGGTGTTGATGTCGGTTGCTTTGTAGACACGACCAAAACTTCCCTTGCCAATCAATTCATTGAGAAGATATGGCGGCTTGTCCTGTCCTGCTTTGGCCACCTCATCGTCCACCGCAGCTTGCATCTTTTTCGCATCTTCTAGGGCCTTCTGCTTCGTCACCGAGAAGTCGGGGCCTCTGACTTGGAGTGACATCTTGGGTGAGTTGTGACCGTTAAGGACGGCCTGAAAAGCTGCGTGTCTCTTCCTCAAGTCGATAAAAACAAAAATTGCAATCAAGCAGCGGTCGAACAGAAACAGATCAGTCCCCTGTGCATTCAATGCTGAGGTTGCCGATTAGGGCCAGATGTTATGAGAAGTTGCAGTATTCATCGAGGTTGGGTTGTACGCATACTGCAATCTGATACGTCCAAGTTCGGGTCAAACACAGGGGGTGAGGTTGCGAGCACGGTGAAAGTGGCAGGTACTGGAGTTATTTCCAGCCAATCACTGTTAGCATACAGTAATTTATCATATGCAACTAAGCTATTTCGCAACAAAGCGGTGTATCGATATAACCATCTCAATCACAGCAGAAGGATTCATTGTCCTCTCACTTCATCATCAAGTCGCTCTCGTAAGTTCAAGCAACACTTGCTTCCGTACAAGAGTACTAATTGGTATCGCCGTGTAAGGTACTTGCTTGTGTATTTGTATGCAGCTGGCCTCGAAGTGGTAGAACATCTTTCCCGACTTACACCTCACAACCACCCCGACAACCAGCCAGTTTTCTTGGCCCCATTCTTGCCCTCAACTTTCCCCTCAGGCTTCACCTCCGTCTCATTTGTTCTTGTCTTGTATGCCCTGGGACTCTCAAAATCACTTGCCTTGCCATTCCAAATTCCAAGCTTCTTTGACTTAGCCCTGGCCTCGGCAGCTTTGTATGCCTTTTCAGCCCCTCCCCATTCGACTCCCGTTTTCGCTTCATATGTCGTTGCCAACCCGAGCTTCAGCATTTCTAGACCGACGTCCTTCTTGAACAGAAACGGTCTGACGTATACTGTCGCAACAACGCGTTCATATTGATCGCGCCTGTGAATCCGAGCCCAGACACGTTTGTTCTGTATGTAGACTCTCAGCCATTGCAGCGCTTCTGCCGCACCTGGCTGCCCCGGCCGGCCAAAGTGTGCGCCCTCGGGAGCATCAATTCCAGCCATCCGTATCGGTATCTGTGCTGAGTCTCAGAACTAGCTTCTCCGTCCTCTCAGAGTTGCACTTACTGTCTTTCCCTTGAGTGCGGCTCTGGTGTTGGGGACCTTCCTCAGCCAATCCCAGCCTGCCAGTCTGCCACCTGGTGTGTGGAACAGGTGAAAGTTATCGCCATCTCCCACACTGGTCACTCGGCCCAGAAGAGTCCTCTTTCTGAAAAGCTCTGGCTGGATGTGATTTGTTGTGGGGAACCTCCGCAGCCGGGTTTGATAAAACATGAAAGCTGCCAGAGATGCGACGGATGTCAGGAAAACGGGGGCCCACTCTCTAGCAGCCTGCAATGGCGGCGCAGGTTGTGGCAGCAGGTCGTTCCATGATGTGGGTAAGACGCGCGCATCATCTTCTGACTTGCTCGGTGTAGACGGTTTTCCTGAGCTGGAAGAGCTGAACGGCCATGGCATTTTCGAGGACTCCTAGTGGAGTTCTGAACCTACACACGTTCACCGGCGGTGAGAAATAGACCGAGCGAGTGTCTAAGGTAGAGCTTCTGATCAGCTTATTAAGTTTGCGCCACCTATGAAAGAGAGGCCAAAATGTGGGAGGATCTTGATCGAATCATCATTGACTCCAAGAATGCTAGGCATTGATGTCTTGTGCAAACGCAATGCAAGTTGAATTGAGAAAACAGCTACTTACCTCGTTTGATACTGGCTGCAGCTTGAGACTAGTTTGTGAGAGAGCTGCAACTCAATTGAATCTACATCCATGTAACATAAGCCGTGTGCGATACAGTATGTACTGTATTCCAAACACTGTTGCGCACCTCCAAGGGCTGCGGCAAAACCGTGCTCCGCTGAGCCAATCAGCGAAGGCCCATTTTGAATCGATGCGTTCGAGCTTTCGGGACATGACGGCCACACTACACACTTTCGAAGGCGAATCCCCTCTATCCAACCTAGCCGGCCCTTAGCCATTGGCATAATAAAGGAGGCTCAATTGGAGGCAGCATATCTCCTTGACCTCTTTTGCAGCCGTCTCTCCACTCTACAATCGCCATGTCAGGCATCTACCGACTTGCTGGCCACAGCGCCAAGAGGTTATGTCTGCGCCCGGCAGCAGTCACCTCCTTCGCCGCCCGCCCGTTCTCGACGACCTCCCTGCGCCGATACGCCGATGCCGCCCCCGAATACCAAGGAACGCGCCTCACTCCTGTCTCGACCGACTTCTCTCGCGCCGAGGACCACTACAGCTTGACGCCGCCGAAGGACCAGGACACGACACCTGAGGAATCTGTCGAGGACCGAAAGATCCGCCACTACACCGTCAACTTCGGTCCCCAGCATCCCGCCGCCCACGGTGTGTTGCGTCTGATTCTCGAGCTCAATGGCGAAGAGATCATCAGAGCCGATCCTCACGTCGGCCTGCTTCACAGAGGTACAGAGAAGCTTTGCGAGTACAAGACGTACCTCCAGGCCCTCCCCTACTTCGACCGTCTCGACTACGTTTCCATGATGACGAACGAGCAATGTTTCGCCCTTGCCGTTGAGAAGCTTCTCAACGTCGAGATTCCCGACCGCGCCAAGTGGATTCGTACCCTGTTCGGCGAGATCACCCGTATTCTGAACCATCTGATGTCCGTTCTGTCACACGCTATGGATGTTGGTGCTTTGACGCCTTTCCTGTGGGGTTTCGAGGAGCGTGAGAAGCTCATGGTAAGTTGGGAGAAATGACGAAGCCGATTGTGCGAATTCCGGCTAACCCGCGTGTCTATCAGGAATTCTACGAGCGTGTCTCCGGTGCCCGTCTCCACGCCGCCTATGTCCGTCCCGGTGGTGTCCACCAGGACATCCCGGTCGGTCTTCTTGACGATATTTACCAATGGGCTACCCAGTTCGGTGACCGCATTGACGAGACCGAAGAGATGTTGACGGACAACCGTATCTGGATCCAGCGTCTTCAGGGTGTTGGTGTGGTCTCTGCCGCCGAGGCTCTCAACCTGTCATTCACCGGTGTTATGCTGCGTGGTTCCGGTGTCCCCTGGGATATCCGCAAGAGCCAGCCTTACGATGCCTACGGCGAGGTTGAGTTCGACGTGCCCGTCGGTGTCCGCGGTGACTGCTACGACAGATACCTTTGCCGTATGGAGGAGTTCAGACAGTCCCTGCGCATCATCCACCAGTGCCTCAACAAGATGCCTGCTGGTCCCGTCCGCGTCGAGGACTACAAGATCTCGCCCCCTCCCCGTGCTGCCATGAAAGAGAACATGGAGGCCCTTATCCACCACTTCCTTCTCTACACCAAGGGTTACACTGTCCCCCCTGGCGAGACCTACTCCGCCATCGAGGCCCCGAAGGGTGAGATGGGTGTCTTCGTCGTCAGTGACGGCAGCGAGAGACCCTACCGCGTCCACATCAGAGCCCCTGGTTTCGCTCACTTGGGCGGTTTCGACCACGTTTCCAAGGGCCACATGCTTGCTGACGCTGTGGCGGTTATCGGTACTATGGATTTGGTGTTCGGTGAGTTCATTCCTTTTGATAATGCCACAATAATGCAGGTGCTAACTATTACCCCAGGTGAGGTTGATCGGTAAAGGGTGTATCAGAGGATGGATATCAAAATGACTTTGAGGAACTTCTTTCCTTTTGTGTACTTGTAGAGTGAAGAGACAGAGCGCCGACGTATATACCGCATTGTTCTCTTTTCTAGAAGAATTTCGTACAGACCATGGCATGCAAAATGTCTCTAGTCTACGTTCACTGAATAAGCTTATTTATGAAAACCTCGGTCAGGTGTGTGGCATTGGCCATTGATTTGATATTTAGACTAAAGATACAAATGGCCTGACTACGCAGACCAGGCTTTTTTAGGTTGATAGTACAGCTTTTCGGGGTTGGAATACATAGAGTACAACTCTAGAAGAGCTTGGCGCCAGTGGTTGAGGCTTGGTCCATGAAGAACTTCTTCAAGGGGCCGAGAGCATTCACCGCGCTAAGACCAAGAGATCGCAATGGAACAAGAGGCCCGCTCTCCACAGAGTATAGCTTGTGAAGTTTGTCGCATACGCCCAGTACAATATGATTCGCAACGTAGCGCTCCGCATTGTACGCCTCGAGGGAAAGTGTCGTTCCTAGGTCCTGGCCAGTAGAAACGGCTGTCTCAATGGTCTTGACCAAACTTTGGACGTCCCCTTGACCCTGGTTCAGGCCTTGTCCAGCCAGGGGGTGGATGGTGTGTGCCGCGTCGCCAACGAGGGCAATGCGCTCGGCGGTATAAGTGTCTGCGTGACGCATCTTGAGCGGGAAAGAGGCAACGGTGCCCTCCTGAACTCCAACGACCTGCTGAGGAATCGCCCGGTGATCGAAAGGAGTATGCTCCAGTCTCCAGGCAAGCTCCTCAGACTGACCAGATTCCTGCTTGTGCATAAATTCCAGGTCGACGGGACTTAGTCGGAAGGCAGCGTTGACCATGGAGATGAAGTCTTTCGGCGACAGGCTTTTCAGAAATGCGGCGTTTGCAGATGTTGTTGACCACACCAGCGTCGAGTAGTTCCCAGGCATCGGCAACATTGCCACAGGGCCAGTAGGCAAGAAGCGCTGGTACGCGATCTTGTTGTGTTCCCCGCCCCATCCCTCGCCCTCCAACTGGAGCGTCGCAACAACGCCATGTCTGCCATAGTCCCAGCCCTGCGCCTTGATACCGGCAAAGGTCCTCACAGGGCTATTTGCGCCGTCAGCTCCGACCAGCAGTCTTGCGTGGAGCTGCTTTCCGCCTGACAAATGAACAACAGGCCACTGCGTCAAGTCCAGGTCCTCCGTTTCCTCTCCGAAGCTGATGTTCTCGACCTTTGCGTTTTCGAATACCGAGACTCCACCAAGCTCCTCCAGACGGCTCAAGAGACCGGAGGTCAAGTTGAGGTTCTCGCACATGTATGCAATTGTCTTGCCCGGCGCCGAACCCGCCGGCCAGTCGAATTCGATTCTCGCGCCACTAACACCGTCCCAAACCTGCATTTCATTGTAGTCTTGGACGCGATCGCGCTTGATGTGGCTCCAGGCTCCAATTGTGTTGAGGTATTGTGCTGAGGTCGGGGTGAGGGAGCTGCATCGATTCGAGAACTTGTCGGCCGGGAGGTTCCACGCGCGAATCTTAGAGAGATCTTGAGCTTCGACGAGTGCTACCCTGAGACGGGATGTGACTGGGTTAGCCCCTATAATATGTTAGTCCCTCTCTATGTACCCATGAAATTGCGACTGTAGCATACGAAGAGCGCTCAGAAGACTCAAGCCTGCCGGTCCACCTCCCACGCAAACGACATCATAGATGTCTGGCTCGGATGCTGAGGATGTTGCGCCTACGCTCGCATAGGACCGGCAAGCCTGGGTCTGAATTTTACGTGTACAAGACCTGCAGACCGACCGGTTTCTGGCCAAGAGGACCCTGGTGGTCGCCATTTTGTCTGAGCCGTCAAGAGGCGGGTTTTTGAGGGGTTCGCTGAGATTGGTATCACATGGAACGAACCATCAGTCGAAATGATGGTCAAGCTCGAAAGAATTCGCCACACCCAGCCACATTTCTGTTCGAGCTTGAGTGTGGCTGAGGCAGGACCCCTCGAGTCCGTGCTTGCTCTTTCCCCCCTGCTCTTACCTCGGAGTCTGGAAGGACTGGAAACTTTGGAAAGGTCATCCCCTGTCACTTCCCTAGTCGCCCCCCACACTAGTTGTTTTTTCCACATGACCTTTGCTGTTGCCACAGCACCCAGAAGCGACAGGATGCTCCTACTTGTTGCGTCAGTGGGCTCCCGCCCATGTCTTTCATCCATCCCGTCCGACGTTATCAACATCTGTCCACTGGGCGCATCCTTTGCACAACTTTGCACCTTACACCCCATCGCTCAGACCTTGGTGCATCTGCCACGGCCGCAGAAAGCAAGGCCCAAATCCTATGTGCAACTGCATTTTGTATGCGCCAGTCACTCCTTCCTTGCCTGCTCTATCCCTCAAGGTTTCATACTGCAGGGCTTCAAAGGCTGCCTTGTGAGCTTCCTTTGACGTCTTGTCGCAAAGTGTCCAGGCTCTGATACCGTCATTCAGCACCAACCTTTCTTTGATTGCAATTTCCGGGTTTCTTTGCTTATACTCTCTGCTTTCTCTGCAAACAACCAATTTTCGACGGCATCTCCAACTGCTTCAACATGGACGACTACGAATACCTTCAGCCTGGGTTCGACCCCAAGTCACTGACAGTTCCTCGGCTCCGCTCGATCCTCGTCGCGCACGACATCCAGTACCCCGCAACAGCGAAAAAGCCCCAGCTCATCCAGTTGTTCGAAGAGCAGGTTGTGCCTCAAGCCAAAAAGATTCTGGCGAAACAAGCCAAGGCCAAAAGATCAAGCTACGGCATTGTCGATGCTGGGAGCTCTCAGGACACTGACGACTTCGATAACGACTACGACCTTGCTCCTCCTCCGCCGAGGGTGACGAGATCGAGATCGCCGCGCAAAGCATCTGCTCGGATCAGAAGTGAGGAATATGAGCAAGAAGTGCCGGCTCCAGTCAGCCCGACAAAGCGGAAGGTCCGAGCTGCGAGCCGACAATTGCCAGAGCCTGAACCTGAACCTTACATCGAGCCTTACACCGAACCTGAGCCGCCCAAGTCTGTTCGCAAGCGAGCTGTCACTCCCAAGATTCCGAAGATCAAGCAGGAAGAGTCCGAGGAGGATTTCTTCAACCGTAGAGAGTCACAGTACTTCTCTACAGAGAACCCCTTCCAGAGTGGGAGCCCAGCAACGCAGCTCATCACAAGCCCCACTGGACGAAGAAAGACCACTGGCCTAGATTTCGCAAATGGCAAATCTGAAAGTAGCCCTCGACGACGAACGGATGGTCACTACGCCGAGGACCGCCCCAAATCGTCGAGAAAGTCCCATGCCTTCCAGGTTCCTGTCAGCGATCTTCTTCGCGAGCAGACACCCGAACCTCAAGAGTTTGAGGTTGAGGCTGGGGAAGAGTTCACCCCTGATGCACAGTTCGAGATGGAACAAGAGATGGCTGCCGGTGGTGAAAGAGCCCTAGCTCCGCGGCCTGCGTCACCTCCACGTCCGAGACGTAGTCTCGCCAAACCTTTTTGGGCTCTTGCGATCTCCCTGTTCGGAGCGTACGGTGCGTGGTATCGACAGGAGAAGGTTGCTGTTGGCTACTGCGGACTCGGTCGACCTGCCACGCAAATCATCCCTCCTGAGGTCGCAGTTCCCGATTGGGCAGTGCAGCTTGCAGAGCCCCAGTGCGAGCCTTGCCCACAGCACGCTTACTGCTACGAAGATTTCACTGTTCGCTGCGAGCCTGACTTCATTTTGAAGCCTCACCCTCTGGCTTTGGGCGGTTTGGTTCCACTTCCACCCACATGTGAGCCGGACGGCGAAAAGGTCAGAAGAGTGAAGGCTGTGGCGGACAAGGCGGTCGAGGAACTAAGAGAGCGCCGCGCGCAATTCGAATGTGGAGATTCCACTGTAGATGCTGGTCAGGCGCCAGCGTCACCATCCATTGCAGAAGAGGAGCTGAAGGCTGCGATTAGTGCAAAGCGGAGCAAGAAGATGAACAAGCAAGAGTTTGACGACCTTTGGGTCGCCGCGATCGGAGAAGTCAAGGGTAGAGAGGAAGTCGAAGTGGCACCGTAAGTCCTCATACTTCTTTCCTTTGTCAGAGTCCTGTCCAGAATCCCCTTTCGCTCGTATATCAGTATCGTCAAATCACCATTCTGACCAGTGTACTAACCAGATCGGATGTGCCCGAAGTAGAAAGGCCAATTCCACCTCAATTTCAGACGCCTACCTCTCGTCTACCTCTCTCGCTCGGTTACCGATCGGCTGCACCCTCAAGCGCTCAGTCAGACTCGGCCTGGCAAGACATCGACTCTCAATTGGATCTGTGATTCTGTTGATTTCAGCTTACTTTTATGTCCGGCGGAAGTACAGGTCTCACAAGGCGACTGTGGCGCAGGTTCCTGCGTTGGTAGACCTTGTTTTATCAAGACTGGCAACACAAAAGGAGCTCGGCGAGGAAGACATTGATGACCCTTGGCTCTTCCTACCGAACCTCCGCGACGACGTGCTTCGTTCGGTCCACTCGCTCGGAGAGAGAGACCGAATTTGGATAAAGGTCAAGGCGGTGGTTGAGCAAAACAGCAACGTGCGGACCAGCCAGAGAGAGGGAAGGAGCGGCGAAGTTGGTCGCGCGTGGGAGTGGATTGGACCGATTGCAGGGGACAGTGCCAGACGGCGCAAGAGGGGACGTATTTCCTATGGAGCGGATGTCAAGACAGAAGATACCCCGGGGACGTCAGAGGACAAGGCTGCTGCTCATTCAAAATGGGATGAGCCACGGCCTATCTATTGAGCTGTGTGTGTGTGTCGATGGAGATGCACTGTCGACCAGTCATCATACCTTTCCTAGTCGCCATCACGCGTAATAATTTTCTTTGTTAGAACGGATTCGACGCAACGAGGAGGCTCTGGTGATTTCCCCCCTCTCAACACCTTGCTCATGAGCTAGGACGGAAAGGCGTTCAGGAATGCTGTACAGCGTACGGATATGAGGGACAGAATCACGGTTTCGTAGGATGACACGGTGATAGTTTCATACCCCGAGATTGAACATACTTCTTACCTTTTTCATGATTATCCTGATGTGTTGTGATTTTTTTTTTTTTATAATTGCTGGCCAATTTCGCGCGTGGAAGTGTTTGGTCAATTGGTTGCCATCACGTTTTGAGTCGTTGCTATGCTCGGGCGGAGGATGTCGGAGAGATCGGATTTGCGAGCGGAGGTGTTGGTGCAGCCAACAACAACGGTTAAGGACACCCGGGGAGATGGGGGAAAAAAAGCCTTGGCGTTCAACACGCCATCCTAGATAGCTCTGTAGAAGCCTCAAATACAATGTTGAAGGTCGTTGAATCAATTGTCGAGTAAAATAAGCTTTTTTCCTAATTAAACACTTACACGACACATGGGCGAGTGATGGTCCAGTTTCGTTCTTCTCTCAAGTTCTTGAATTTGGCTAATGCACAGGGTGTTTATTGACACGCAAGGGGAACAGGACCCCTTGGACAAAGGAAAGCTTCTCGCTCAGACTCTAGTAAGGGTGGGGAATCTATTGGGCCTTGGAGGAGACGATCTCTGTTGCAAAGGTAATGAATGTTAGCAAGAAGGAATTGATTGATAGCTTGGGTGGAGATCCTCGGGGAGAGGACCATCCGATGACGGAGGTTTTTGGTGAAGGAAAATTGAGCACGTACTCTCGACATCAGCAATGCTCTGCTGGAGGATCTGCTGGAGGACCTTGGGGTTCTCGAGCTCCTTGGTGACCTTGGCGATGATGGTCTCGGCGAGCTCCTTCTGCTGGCGAGCCTTGACCTGGCCCTCGTAGCGGACCCAGGAGTCGAGGACGGCCTTGGCCTCGGCGGCCAGGGCGGTCTTCTGCTGGTGCTCGTAGGCCTGAGCCTCAAGCTGAGCAGTCTCCTATTAAATGAACATGTCAGCTGCTGTTCTGTAATAATTCTTTTGATGGTGCTCCACGGCTGTGCCAATTATTCCGTCCGACCGAGCTCGTTCCGAAGTAGCCTCCTTTTCCATTGATTACATCATAAAGAGTCGTACCTTGGAAACGGCGAAAAGGGACTTGGTAATGTCAACGACACCGGACATCTGCTGGACGTCCTCGATGCGTCCCTTGACGGCCTGGGTGTGGTCGGCACGGGCGGAGTTGAGGATGCCCTTGATCTTGTCGGCCTGGCCCTGAGCCCACTCGCTGTACATCGGGCCTCCGTACTTGATCAGACCGCCCCAGACGGCGAGCAGGCAGAAGGCGACGACGGTCTCCTCGTTGACGACATAGTACTCGTTGCTGATGGCGTAGACGCTGAGGGCGGCGGACGAGGAGAGGATGGCGGTCTTGGAGAGGAGCGAGTTGCCGGGGAGGGCGTCGACGATGGACTGGGCCTTCTTCTTGGGGTCCTCGGCGGGAACGTTGGAGGCGTTGCGGGCACCGGCGATCGAGGCCGAGATGGCGGGCAGAGTGCGGCGGGCCAGGGTCGGCCTGAGGAGGTTCGCGCCTGTTCGAGAAGGGAGGGGAGAGCCTGCGCGTTAGCCACCACGTTTACGTTTGTCTGCTGTCGTCGAGCAAGCCAATTGACACGCCGAAGCTTCGAGGGATGTGTCTGGACGTACCGACAGCGCTTCGAGCCAAGCGGGACGCCATTGTGTGATGATTGGGGGGGTTGCGGGTATTATGGGTTTGAGGTCATTCGGAGCTGCTCGAGGTGAGGTTAGATTTTGTCTACGGGTACCGCTTACTCCCGAGACGGCTATGATTTCGTCACGTGATGTGGCGGAAGCAGTGGCTGCGGGAATTTGGGGGGAGACTTGGGACAGGACGACCGACCGGCGCTTGGGCTTCCAAGTTCCATTCATCCAAGTTGAAGTGGGACCTCGGCGCATGGAAGTACATTGGTACCTCGATGAAAATTCCCATCTCATCTGGGACCCGCTGTAAATTTGAATTCGGTTTTCACGACTGCGACGACTGATATCAACATCTGAAGCTCAGCTCATCATAAAATTAACGCCAAAAAAAGAAGGGGAAATGCCTGCCAAAGTCTCGGCCGACGGCCTGAAGAGGAAAAGAGTTCCCACGAAGGAGAAGTCAAAGAAGCGCGCCAAATCGGAATCCGAGTCCGAATCTGAAGCAGAGAGCGATGAGAGCAACGACCCTCAGGCTGAGATTCTACTGCTCGAGAATGAGATTTTGGAATCCAAGAAGCACTACAACAACATCACAAAACTGACCCAGATCGCTAGCACTCGAGAGGATGAGCCCGAGGCCGCGACACTGGCCTGTGTGGCCCTGTGCAGGGTTTTTGTGAGATTGCTCTCGGCGGGAGCATTCGCCTTTAGGCCAGGACAGGCTGAGAAGGAGAAGGTGGTGGTGCAATGGTTGAGAGAGCGGTACCTCGAGTACAAGGGCGTGCTTGCTTCGCTTCTAGAGGAGGAAGATCTGGCGTCGACTGCGTTGACGCTGGCTATGAGGTGCCTCAAGGCCGAGGCTCAGCACTTCACCGAGAAGGAGGAGTACACATTCCCTCACGCCTTCATTGAGCAAATTGTGAGGGGGCTGTTGGCTTCAGACAGTGATGATGTTCGTGTCGAGTTTGTCGAGAAATATCTGACAGAATACGACGACATTCGCTTCTTCACACTAAAGGCCGTGAAGTATGATACCGGAGCACGCGAGACGTTTTGGGTTCACAAAACTAACGACTCACAGATCCATCGCCGAGAACCCTGGGTCTTTGCCCAAGGTGGAGGTGTTTGATGACGCTTTCGAGCTACTCTCAAACATTGGGGACGTGCCGAAAGAATTAGGAAACTTCTACGCCGAAAAGCCCAAGAAGAAGTCGCACAACGTCAACTCTGTGCACCAGCACAAGAAGCAGGGCCAAGACGCCTGGCTGGCGGTTCTGAGGCTGGCGACGACGAGGGAGCAGCGGAAGCAGATTCTGGACGTCATGTCCAAGGAGATTGCCCCGTGGTTCATCCGCCCAGAGTTGCTCGCCGATTTCCTGACGGATTCCTACGACGCGGGCGGCTCCATCTCGCTGCTTGCGCTTTCCGGTGTCTTTTACCTCATCCAGGAACGCAACCTCGACTACCCGTCATTCTACACCAAGCTCTACTCGCTCCTGGACCGTGACATCCTTCACTCCAAGTACCGCTCGAAATTCTTCCGGTTGATGGACACCTTCCTCAACTCAACCCATTTGCCTGCAGTGCTGGTGGCGAGTTTCATCAAGAGGCTGGCACGGCTGAGCCTCAACGCTCCCCCGAGCGCTATCGTCTTCATCGTGCCCTGGATGTACAACATTCTCAAGAGGCACCCTCTATGCACGTTCATGCTCCACAGGGAAACGAGAGACCCGGCGATCAAGGCTCTCATGGAGACGCAGGGCGTGGAAGACCCGTTCCTGGCAGACGAGGCCGATCCCATGGAAACGCACGCCATTGACAGCTGTCTATGGGAGATTGTGCAGCTGCAGTCGCACTACCATCCCAACGTGGCGACGATTGCCAAGATCATGTCAGAGCAGTTTACCAAGCAGTCCTACAACATTGAGGACTTCCTCGACCACTCATACAGCAGTGTAAGTTGCCTCACAAGAGACCCAGATAGACCATTACAAGAACCTCCGGCTAACAATTGATATAGTTGCTCGAAGCCGAGATGGGCAAGCAGGTCAGAAAGCCACCCGTGATCGAGTTCCAGATCCCCAAGAAGGTGTTTCTTCCAAACGAGCCAGAGTCCGGAGTTCAAGATAGTCTCGTGGCGAAGCTGTGGAACTTCCAGTAAGATCCTATAATGAGGAGGATGGGCATGAGGTGGCAGGAGAGATGCCATCCAGGCCAACAGACGGTACTTCCCTTGTACGAAGAAAAGATTGGTATTTCTTGATATCCGGGCGCGGCATGGAGGCATGGATGGTTCTTGAAAAGTTTAGACATCACGGGTAGACATTGTTTGCTATCAAAACAAGGCGCTCATTGGGCTTCAGCATCGTGGAGGTTTTGTGAGCCTCATCACTTTTTCCATTATGTAAACGATTCCGCTTGCGACGAGCGGGTGTGCAGTGGCATATGGAGATTTGGCAATCGTGAGTGGATAGCCGACTCTATCTACTACCGATAACATGCATGAAGGGGCGTATTTCGTGGTTGATATGATCTGATATAGGTGGTCGAACAGTAAGGCAAGTCATCCGAAGTCGAACTTTTTATACTTGCTTCGGCGACCTTGAAAGCTGATGGGTTGCCTGTCCCTGGTTCAGTATTGACTCTTTCTCTTATCTCAATGTCTACTATTCCAAAGTCAGACATGGAAGGTCGATCAATAATGTGATGGGTAGGTATTACGATCTTAGTTTGCTGAAAGTCATGTCGTGCAGCGGAAATGCGCATTTGAAGATGTCCGCCTTGCTGAGTTTCCGTCCCCTCCAGCACGAATGATCTCTGTGCCGCTTTCCGATGAGGTGGGTGTCCTGGCAGTCGACTTTGCCATTAGAGCACGGCAAGTATATCTCGATCCAAATACCTTATTCCCATCTGTCATTGACCTAGCTCCCGCTGCAGCCATTCCTTCATCCATGTGGCCACACCTTGAAAGAGTCATTCAAGTTCAGACGAATTTTCAGCTCCCGGGCACACTCACTCATCCTGTTATGAGGCTTGCCTTACCTGAGTAAGACTTTTTCCAGCTCTTTGGGTAATACCCACGAAGAGACAAATACATGTGTCTGGCCCGATACAGCGCGATGATCAGGTACCGTCATGTAAATGGACCAACCAATGTCGAGAGAAACTCTCGGCGCCCAGATACACAAAGCCAAAAAAAAGTCAAGAGGTCGTGTGCTCAATTGCCGCAACCGATCGACAGGCTCAGCAATGAGCCGAGCGCTGGTCGAAGCTCTATGAGGTGTTCGAGGTACCTGAGGTACTTGCCTATCAGTCGTCGTGCGACGGCCTGGAGACTTGTGGAGTATCATGCGTCAGGGAAGGACGTGGGCAGTCGACAGAACACCTGGAGAACAGCGCGCTGAGCATCAAAGTCTTGGTCCACTGTGGGGATGGACGACGACCAGCTGACAGCGAACAGCACTGTCCTCGCTGACTGGATGCCCTGTATTCAAGTGTTGGCTGATGGCTTGGAGGAGTGTGAGGACCTGGAGCTCCGATGCCTGCCCGTACCCGTGTTCCCAGAAACAAGCCCCAGAAAAGAAGAAAAAAGAGGTCGGCCAGACTTTCCAGGCTTTCGGAGGTGGCCGCTGGTTGGCTAAATTTCGGAGGGGGGCAAGCTCTCGGACCCCGTAGCGACCAATGGCAAGTGGCGGAAGCACCAGGGCGGGGTCTCATCCCAGGTGTGCCGTGCGTCTTGCTGTGGCAGCTGTGCGTGTGCTGGACGTAGTGGACGGCCGGATCTCTCCTCAAAGCGGCTTAGCATTTGGAGGCCCTCTCTCTCAGTCTCTGTTGCTCCACCTTCCACTGACATCACCGAGAGCAACCAACGGAACGGATGCATCGCTCTATCTCAAGTCTGGGCTGTTCCTTAGACTGCTTCTCGCCCTCTCCCCAATTCCAACACCATCGGCAGACTTTTCTTCCTCAGTCTCGGTCGCCTGATATCTGCGCTATATCGCCTTCGTTAACAGCTTTACTGTCAATCGCTGCATAGTTTGAATCTCCCGACTTCACTCTATCATCTCTTATCTTCACGTTCAAACAATACAGTGCATTCGATCCGGTATTCGCGCTGCCATTTCTCCAACAGAGCTCCGACCCACGCACCACGCCTACGCCCACTCAAAATAGACAGCAGCTGAAATCTACCCCAGCTCGCCCGCAGTTCGTTTCGTGCTTCACGTGGAAACCGTCCCCAGTCGCCACCAAAACACACCAGGAGTCGTCGACCCACGCCAAAGGTAGTCTGCCGTCTGCAGTCTGCTCGCGCCGACCTGCGGCACCCACCTGGTCCGGTCTCTCTAGTAGTAGTCGGCACAAGCGCTGCAAGAGACGGTGTGACATATCGCCTCCAACATGTCTGGCAATCCCTTCCAGCCCTTGGCGGCTCATCTACAGACGCCGACGTCCCGGAGACAGTCCAATACTCCCGGATCGAGCTCAACAGCACCGCCCCCGCCAGCGACACCCTCGAGCCACGCGAACGGGAATGACCAGAACGGACAGCAGCAGCAGCCCCGTCGGCGAAAGAACCATCGCGGCGGCGCCAAGAAGAAGCGCAATCGGCGCAAGTCATTCGCCGTTCTCGCTGAGGAGTCTCACGACGAAGCTCCGCCCACGGCACCCGAGAGAGACGGTTTTTACCGCCAGCGCACGAATTTAAGCAACACGAGCATTGACAGCCAGGAACTCCTGGATCACAGGTGAGTTCGCGTGGTCCCTAATGTCAGGCGTAACGATGTCTGACTTACACAATGCAGAGATCAACCACAGCCACTCCGACCTCGCAGGCCTTCCATAATGAACAACTCGGCCCCCTTCCCCGCCACGACGACAACACCACAAACCGGCAGCAGACTTCGCAACGCATACGTGGGTGACAGTGGCGACGAGGACGGCTCGTGGGACGAGGGTGCCCCTCTCTTGTCAAGGTCCATTCAGCGCTCTTCCACCGCACCCATGTTCCCCGGCTATGGTTCGAGCGATCCTCGCCAACGAGTGAGCCGACGCGGATCCAGCAGATCCTCGAGGACGAAGCTTGCAACCCCGTTCCAAGACAACAATTATAATGTCAACTACCCACCATCCATGCCTGGGTCGCCCACCTTTCGACCTTCCGACCCCCTTAATCTGAGCTTCGGGGATGTCATGATTCACGAAGACGAGATTGATATTCGTACCTCGCCGCGTGGAAGCCCAAGAAACAGCATCGGGTCACACTCCGACCGGGATATTCATAATCACTCTTCGCCCGATCTAGCACGGAGGAACACCATTGCCCTGACGGCTGAGGAGGATGTTTGCTTCCCGAGCGGGATTTCGGAAATTGGTGACGAGGAAGGTCACTCTCAAGACCCCGCTGCCAAACAACGCCCGAGGCGTCGTCGACGCCGCTGGCCCGATCTTGGTATTCTGGAAGAATGGAGCCGCTTCGAAAAGGAGGGACGCAGCGACGAGAGACGCGCCAAGCGGATTACCGAGCCTCAGCTCATTAACGGCCGTCTACGACCAATTACCCGGGAGTGGTACCGTGCCGAGGAAGATGCTCCTTATCGTTTTACCTACTTCAACGAGGAATTCCAGAGCACTATCCACAGTCAGACAATCTCGGAACTTGTGCAGCCCGGCGGTAACTTCCAAGAGCTGTTCATCCCAGACCCGCGTATTCTCTCCGACGACGAGAGCACAGATAGTGAAGACGATGGTGGTCTGCCACCCCTGTCTACGCATCACTCCCACACTGGCCAAAACGGGGAGTCTAGAGCTCCCACACGGCAGCCATCACTCGCGAATACTCAATCCGAACAAGAGAGAAGAGAGGGCATCAAGTCTCCTGACAAAACTTCGGGTGGTAGCTCCCGCGCCGGATCCGTTCATCGTACCCCTACCGGTATTAGATCGCCGGTCGTCGGCAACCAGACAACCCAGACGCCAGAGCTGCTCGTCAACGCACCGAGGTACGGCGAACGACCTGTGTGGTGGCTCGATGTCCTTTCTCCAACGGAAGCGGAGATGAAGGTGTTGTCCAAGGCCTTTGGTATCCATCCGCTTACAGCTGAGGATATCATGGTTCAGGAGGCGCGAGAAAAGGTTGAACTATTCCGCCACTACTACTTTGTCAACTACCGATCCTTTGACCAGGATCAGAACAGTGAGGACTATTTGGAACCCGTCAACATGTATGTCATCGTCTTCCGCGAGGGTGTCATCAGCTTCCATTTCTCCATGACACCGCATCCCGCCAACGTCCGCCGACGTATCCGTCAGCTGAAGGACTACCTTATCGTCAACTCTGATTGGATTTCCTACGCAATCATTGACGACATTACCGATGTGTTTGTGCCATTGATCCAAAATATTGAGGACGAAGTCGACGACATTGATGATGAAATCCTGAGGCTGCATTCTTCTACTGGCAACTCCAAGAGCGACGTTTTTGACGAGAAGGCCAGCAATACAGGAACAACTGTGGGATCTGAAGGCGATATGCTTCGCCGGGTGGGCGACTGCCGTAAACGAGTGATGAGCTTGTACCGTCTGCTCGGCAACAAGGCAGATGTCATCAAGGGATTTGCGAAGCGCTGCAACGAACGCTGGGATGTCGCACCCAAGTCTGATATTGGACTGTACCTGGGCGATATTCAGGATCATATTGTGACCATGACGTCTAACCTCAGTCACTATGAAAAGTAAGTCATTCAGCCTTGAAGACTGATCTAACCCAAGCTAACCGACTATTTCTCTCCAGAATCCTTGCGCGATCTCACGGCAACTACTTGGCTCAAATAAACATTCGTATGAACGAGAGACAGGAGCAAACGGCTGACGTTCTCGGCAAGCTGACCGTGCTGGGTACCATTGTTCTGCCCATGAACATTATCACTGGTCTGTGGGGCATGAACGTGTGGGTTCCCGGCCAGGAGTACGAAGGGGACCTGAAATGGTTCTGGGCGATTACCGCAGGACTTTTGGCATTCGGCATGGGCTGTTACCTGATTGCCAAGCGGGTTTACAACATTGTCTAAGGGGAAGAGGGAAAAAAGCGAAATGAGGGAACTTCTCCTTTCAGGGGTAGGTTGAGCAGTTCTCACTGGCGTTTGATGGGGTTCTTCATTTCTTGTTGAACTGAAAAAGCATACGTTCCAAACTTGTTTGTTGGTTTAGATTGATCGGTGCATTCACGGATGGTAAACGGGACAATGTGTAATGTACACCGGTCGTTTTGATAATGTCAAATCCTGTTGTTATTTCAGAGGTTTATCTACCTAGTGACGGGGAAATGGGGTGACTTGGTTGATATGGATGGAAACTTGTATGCTTGAGATTACAGCCAGCTGATGCCAAGCACGTAAGGCTGACTGGCATGTCTGGTTTAGGAGGCTTGGTTTGGGTCTAATGCGCGTGCAGACACCAGACGAACTCACAGAGTATCTTTCCCGCGCGCAATAGCAGTGATAAAAGCTGATGTTGACAAAACTTAAGTAGGCTTGACGGCAATATGGGCGAAAAAGGGGTATATGTGCGAGAGGACTTACTGTTGTGGCCAAACTTTTTTTTTCTCTTTTTTTCTCTTTTCTTTTTGGCCTGTGGTTAAGACTTCAACCTGGGAGCAGCTATCAAGTTCCTTTCCTGCCATTCTGGTTACGCCGGCTATGGCCAATGTCGCCAATTGTACCTGCCAATGGTAACAGGCTGCCGAGACATGTATGCAAGATGCCCTTGATATTGTTACCAGAACATTCTTTCGTGAGTTCGAGGAGCTTGCATCTAGCTCCAGCTGGGTTAGAGGAATATGGCCAACACTTTGTTGGTGTTTGCATTTCTCGGCGCAGCCTGCATGGGCATTGCATCAGGGCGCAGGGCATGAGTTGGAAGGAAGGGAATTTGGTCTGGGGACAGTAGCCCGTTTCCCAGAGTGTTTGGAATTTTATGAGGAGGTAAAACGCCCATGATGTCAGTTTCGTCAGCAGACACCTACCTACTTGACCTGTTAGGTGGACGTAGCCTGATGGTGAAGTGGAAGAAGTGTGTGGCCGGGGTTGGGAGGATGACGGAACTGACGGGGGCAAGGCCAATCACCGTTATGCACGATGCAGAGCATGCCCGGAGAAAGGAAAAGGGAAAGCAGGAGCTGCAGCGAATGATAGGAGCACAACTGTGCCCTTTCTCTCTGTTCGAGCTGTTGGGTTTCGCATGGGCCTGCCTCTTTGGGCTTGATATTTAAACACGAGGAAGTTGTGATTCATGATTTTTGCTTCTTCACTTCTTATCATCCTTCATTATGTACTGGTTCGTTTGGATAGATCAACGCCCTTGTCGATAAGAACGACGACGACAATAATAATAACGACAACGCCGACTATAAACTACACGCCTGACCGTATACGTGGACCCTGTGCCCTAGGACAGGGAATCGTGGATGACCGCTGGATACCCAAACTTGGATGCCATCAGGACAAGACCAAACGTGGATAATCCTCATTGTGGACTCCTTCTATCGTGGAATACCTTTATCGTGGACTTATTCTATCGTGGACCCCTCCTTCTGGGCTCATCAAAATTTTCGACTTGTCGACTTTCTCATCTATCCCTTGACCGGGCAAGTTGCCGTGGAATTTGTCGTGGCTCTACTACCTTCCCCAGGTTCTGGTCGGCGTCTGCTGCCGATGTGGACGGATCATCATCCAAGTATACAATATCTCCCGCTGTACTGTGGATGTTAGCAGTCCATGAGAAGACGTTTACAAACGTCTCGGACTCTTACCTCAGCGTGGATTGCTTTTGCCATAACTTCTGGATCTTACGTCCTCAACCAAAGGCTATTCGTTCACCTAAGCCAATTCAATGGCGACCCTGGTTCTTACCAACTCTTCTACATCTAACAAAAATCAGGACGCAGTGCTCCCAGGTTACTCTTCGACGAAACTGGCAGCAACTAGTCGACAACTTGGCAAGCTTCGGCCTGTGGCCCTTGGTCAGAACTACACGAGCATGATCGAAAACTCGATAAGTCCAACAGCAGGACTTCCACGCCTTTCGCGAAAAACGTTACACGCCAACGAAATCCCGGAGTCCCATGCTCTCAACTACCGTGCAGGTCGTCTCCTGACCAACGCACCTCATCTGGCCTCCGAGGACTTCGGTACCTGGCTACTATTACAACATAAGTTTCAGTCAACAAAACGTTCTCATAAACCGGGATTGCGAACAGAACGCTTGGTCGACTCTGGCAATTATACGATCAAATTTCTGCCCCTTACCAAAGTTTTCGACTTGGAAGCTTCTCTTGAGTTTGCTCATTACGAGCTGCAATTTTCCCGGGGGGCCTTTTACCCCATGGCCATAGATCAGCATGACCTTCCTCAAGACATCAGGACGTGCAGACAGCCTGGAATTACGCGCCATTCTCTAGCCGTCCAGGACCGAAGTTCTGAAATTGTTTCCGGAAAGGCCGGTTGGAAGACCTTCTCCATCCCTTCCATTGGAGTTCCCAGAGAGAATTCAGCCGGCGGAGACCTGGTCACTCCCCGAGGACAGGGTGCCTCTTCATCGATACCCCTTGAAAATCGAAGGCTCCTTATTGCCAGTCCTGACAAAGTCTATCGGGACATAGGCCCAATTTCCTCTCGAGTTGCAGACAAGACTGACTCCCAGGGAAGGGCTCTGGGCACGTTAGTGACAGGATATCGATGGCTCCAAGCGAAGTCTCTTGAAACCTGGAGAGACCTGTTCTCATATCTGCAATGGCTGTTCGAGTCTGATGCTCGGCCTTTCGCCTGGTCTTGCCATTGGAAACTTGGCTCAAATATGGAAAACAGGTCTTGCCCATTGCCTTCACAACAAGAAACAGAGACAGGCCCGACCTACAATACTTGTCAGCATAGCCGCGAAACCAGTGAAGAAAAGCCCTCAGAACACCGGACCAGGAATACAGACTCGCCACGTCGCAAAAGAGGCGCATGTCAACATGGAACCAATGGCCAGGATCAGAGTGACGACGACGAATTTCCGGATGAGTCCAGAAGGAAGAAATCACGACTCCAAGGTCCAGCCACCGACAAGAATGACAATGATCTCAGCTTAGCCTGTCCGTTCTACAAGGCAGACAAACGCACCCACAATCGGTGCTCTTTATTACAGCTGAATAGGATCAGAGATGTGAAGCAGCATCTGTATCGGAAGCATATGCAGCCTCACTACTGCTCAAGGTGCGGTCGACAGTTCGAGACGCAAACTGAGGAGAGGTGTCACACAAGGCAACAGGACTGCAGCAAGCGAGCCAACCAGCCGCCCGACGGAATCACCCACGACCAGCAGAAGGAGCTCAAGGAGAGGGTAGACCGCAAGCTCGCCGTGAAGGAGCAGTGGTTCGCCGTCTGGGCCATTGTTTTCCCCGATATGCCGCCACCAGAGTCACCCTATGTCTACAGCCCTACCCGTGAGGTAGCAACGAATATGCGAAACTACTGGCAAGAAAGCGCGGCGGAGATGCTGGTCGCCCACGCTGACCGCATGCCGGGTATTGACAGGGAACGGGTCATTGGCGGTTTGAATACGTTTATGGAAACCTTCTTCAATCGATTCATCGAGGAGCACACCTCGGTTGCCGAGGGAGAGCAAGTTTCGGATTCATCCTCAGACGGTAGCCCAGGTAAATCGATTCCAAAGAGATCAAGGCCTTGCTAGACAAGAAACTGACGCAGTTCTACAGGGACAGTATGTTTCTCAGAGAGGGCGCCGGCTATATCATCACCAAGCAGTAGCCAAAGGACTTTATTCGAATCCTTCCGCGACTTGCTTTCTGTCATGAGTGGTGCCGCCAGCGACAATGGCATGATAGACGACGGTTCGCTTATCGCCAACTATGCAATGACCATGGGAGAAACGGACGGGCACTGGGAATTTCCGTCGAGTGATGATGCTTATGGTTGGGGTCAGCTCCCCACGGCTGGTCCGTTCTTCCAAGATGATCCTCTTACTTGAGAAACAGCTCTAGGTGTGTTTGTCGAAGCTGGCTCGGAAACCCTAGAAATGCCAGAACAACTGACTGCTGTCCCCAATAGACAGTATCTCCAACTTCGACAGTAATTCCATGGTAAAGCCAGGTGGATGCGGAGGAGAGAGCCCGAGAGTCAGATGGGGTCAGTCGTGGAGTACAGGACATGATGACTTTGACCAAGAAGCGTCGCTATGGATTTTCCTACTATTCTCGGAATTTTGATAGCTATTTTCCTACTGTTTCTAGAATGTGGTGGCTCTTGTCTGTAACATAGAAATCCCTCGGAAGAAGTGGAATGGAGGTGAGTTTCGAAAAGGATTTGGACAATACATCCATCATACATGCGTGTAAGGTAGTCCAGCAATAGAGTGATGGCTCCATGTCACAAGAATGGAATGATTATATCATATGGCACACTACGCTTTAAGGTTGTGCTAAGCCACATGAACGGATGATGCTTTGCACTTTGGCACAAGTTCAGTTGCCGGTATGATGTAGGAGAGTGTGAAATTTTTGCAGGGTCGATCAAGAAAAGGTCTCCAAGATGTCGAGCTACCTCCACCTTAGACAATGCGTGTGTCCTTATCTTGGCTTGACCGCGAGACACAATCTCTAAAAACTGCAATAGGCACAGCGAGTTACGTTCGGCAATTGTCATAGAGAGGAAGCATCCAAGGTTGCTTGACCGATCTACAACTCATGACATCTTTGAAGACGAGACCCCTGGGCACGAGACAGACGGACAGGCTCCAGACATTCCACAGGCAGCAGTTGCACAATATATCAGCAAGCCAGCTACGTACGCGGTAACCGGGAACCGGCAGCTGCTCATCTGAATTGATGTACCTGCCAACTAGAGATGCCTCGGCTCCTCCCATAGTAGACCTCATCATGAGACGTTGGCGAAGAAAGAGGTCGCGCAATCTTCGAGACTCTCGGCAGTGAACCCGGCCGGAGCAACAGACAGGAAATTAACTTCCATCAACCTTTTCCGCAGCACTCTGATCCGACGAGGGGCAGAAAACTTTTTAACACTTACACGACTTGAGTTAGAATTGGAAGTCATTCAGTCAGGTCCCCGTCACCTCCCTTTTCCCCCGCTCCCTCTCCGAGAAATGGTTCGAGGCAAATTCACTATCAGACCAAAACTCAATTCACTCGACTATAGAGTTTTGGGCCCGAAAAAGTAAGGCGACTTGCGGAAAAGAGGGAAAGGGGCCAAAAACCCTGAGATTGTGTCATTACAACCCAAAGAAGGACGAACCCCGGAAGGACCGATATCGTCTGAAGACTTCTCAAACGGCAGAAGATGGAGAAAAAGGGCTGATGTACACGACAATGGTATCGTGCAAAGTCAAAGAGCGAGAAAAGAGAAGAGACCGACCGCGACAGCCTCGCGATCCGAGAGCCAACGGTCTTGCTAGGATGACGGTCCCATGTTTTTTTTGGAGCGGCGCCTCGACTGACAGAGCCCCGAGTTTCAGGAAGAAGTCATGGAAGACAAAGAGAAAAGAAAATGGAAAAAGTATGGAAAAAAAGATGGGATCGAAAAAAAAAAGACCCATCGGGCTGAAGCAGCCCGCACATCTGGGAAACGTCGGACGCCAAGGTTTTGGTTTCTGCTCTGTTCGTGGGGACCCCCGGTCTCTCTGCCCAGGCACTTTGTACCCCTCCACCCCACTCGGGGGACGCAACCACTTCCAGTCTCTGCTGGGGGCTCAACTACCGCCCTCCACTGCCCTGCGCCATCGAGGCATTGGATGATCGAGATCAGTCCCCTTGTGCGTACCATTCTGAGAGGGCGCCGCGGGCATCGACACGCGAGTTGGTTCGGGAAGTCTGGAAACTCAATTACTTGACAATCGTCGAGGTTACATTGGCGCGGTGATGGCCATCAATGGAGGGTATCGAGATAAGTTGATAACCGGGCACGCTGAAAAGTATTCCTAGGCAAGGCGAAAGGTTGGAGATTGGGCGAAACGCCAAGGACAGGGCGACGACGGAGTCGAATCATGAAGGTGGGAGGAGATGGAGAGAGGGCGAAACCCACCTAGCAGCGAGAGCTTGAGGAGGGATTTCCCGACCAACAATCGGGGCTTTCAAAATCCACGATAGGCGTGGTGTGCGAAACAGGCCGAAGAGGGTGCGTGGCCAAGGATATGGTGTGCCACGGAAGTAAACCCGACCCGACTTTGTCTGGATAGCGTGCAGTAAAGACCAAACTTGCGCCTCCAAGAACGACGGGATCTTGATAGAACCTGGCCGAGCCTGCATGCTGCGGCCAGTTAATTGGTCTCGCGCATATGGTGTGAGGGGGCTGTTGCTCAAGCCCGCCCGGCTGCAGCATAGACGCAGTTGCTGGCATGTCTTGTAGCTAGATTGCGCGAGCTTGAAGAGGGTTACAAACTCTCACCGTACCAGCCGTCGGAAGCCCCGGCCGTCTTAGCTCGACGCGATGCCATTGGCCTTCGACTTCTGCTCTATTTTCTGCTTTTCCTGAGCTTTGGTGTGGGATGTTGGTGTAAGCATGGTATTGAACGTAGATTCCGATTTTCGATACCGCAACACCACTGAGCATCCGTAAAGATGCAAGGTGACTAGGGTGAGATGAGTAGGGTGATGAAGCTCTTGTTTGACATAGGTATCTCTTCCACGCATTTTGATATCAGAGAATGCTTCGAGGCAAAACTAGCAAGCGTCGATGACTGGCTGGCAAGCGTTGTTCTATTTTAATTTCAGGTTTGACGGGAAAACCTGGGTGCTCTGCGGCGAAAATGGAAGGCTGCTGGCCGATCAGTAGAAACATGGAGAGAATTACCCAGAAGCTCGGGCCTCAAGACCCTTCCTTCCTTCGATGTACCTGTCATTCGTCTGGTGGTGTCTATGTGTGTGTGTGTGTGTGTGTGTGTGTGTGTACTGTAGAAGGCGAAAGTGACTTATCGACCCCGGCTGGTAACCGTATTGCCAATCCAGCAAGTATGGAGATATCAAACACGATATCTACTGAGAGACAGTGGCAACCCCGCGCCGGCTTGAAGGGATACAGAGCTGGTACAACATCGGAAGGACCCTGCGATGATGCAGGCTTTGTCCAGACTTTCCGCACGACACTGCGTTCCTTCACCGTCTCCTGGAAAGACAGGCGCAAAATTTTTGATACGGGAAGGCGGGAGATATCAGAGAATGTTGGACATGTATAGAAAAATCTCGAAGCAATGGAAACGTTCCTAGCGACTTCACGGGTACGATTGGGGTCCCTTGGCCGTTGATTGTGAGACTCGATGCAAGCGAATCAAATCCGAGTTACAGGCTGGTATATGGTGTAGAACTGGGCACGAATTGTAGAAGAGTGAGCGGATAAAACTTCACGGCCCTGTGGAGGCAACTTGGCCCGTACTTCGTACACACGTCCACGTATCTGATGTGCGCGTACCGTAAGCCATCGATCCGCGTCATGTGTGCAACTGTGATTGAGGCGCAGCTCGACTATGCAATATGGAACCCGCGGGAGTTGACGAGCAGAGCTGAAGACTAACGCTTTATGCGGCGGTCTGGCAGCCAAGTTGATATTCCGGACTCTCGGTTGGAAGTGGACCTTGCAGGTTCGCAGTACTACGACGGGTCAGCCTTCGTATGGCCGGCCGTTGAACACGAAGTCCACCGGCTTGCAGGGGTGGTCAACATCTCACCCCAAGCTCGGGCTGGGCAAAAGTTGACAACGTGGAGCATTGAAGAGGAAGAGGCGGTGGGACGGGCATGATCCTCGCTGCCCTTTGGCGTCTAGTCCAAGTGATGGAGTGTCTCGGCCTTAGGGGTCCATTGTCGAGATGCTGTTCGGTCCTAATGGCATCTGAGGATCGAGGATCAGATGAAAGATGCTGGCTGACTGTGTTTGAGGCGCTGTGCCAGAATTTCCATGAGTCGCAACGCAGCCCCGCTCCCGCGAGACAGACAAACCACATGAGGTACTGACCGAGTGATTTGTCGTTCGGGATCGGAAAGGACAATCATGATTGACTGCCTGCTTGAATGATGCAGAGGCAGTCAAGTTTCAGACTGAACCACTGTTGTGCTTCCCCGACGCACGTCTTCCATGCGGCCGCATCTCGCTCAGCAACAACGCTGGCCAGTGGGAAGAATGGCTGTGTATAGTGTACAGCGAAGGTGGGAGTTTGTAGTAGCATCGATTTAAAGCCAGAGGAACAAAGCGGCGGAATGGGAATGATGAAAGCCCGTCGTGCGCCGTCTGGTAGCGACCTCGCTGATTTGCATGTACGAAGTCCCAAACAGTCGCGTACAGTAGGTACAGATACCGTGTACCATGATAGGTAGTGTAGGTAGGTAGTCGACTGTGTGCGGTTGTCCTCAATATTGACTGGAAGTAATGGATGGCCGGGCGTCGATCCTGGTTGGGCGCAGTGGCAGTGGTGGCTGATCGGGTCTTGTCGTCCGTCAACAAGCCTGCAGGACTAAGGCTAAGGTTTTCTTGGATGGAACCTCATAACTGTGCTGGGGTTGGACGGGTTGGACGGGTGGGATGGTTGATGAGGGGCGAAACGCGTAATGGCGCGGGCTTGAGGAATTCCCCTCCACCTGAGCACCCCTCTTATTGCCAATGGTCGAGAGTCCGTTGATTGACCGGTGCTTGTCTTGCGTCTGATTCTGAGAGGTACACGCACGCGGTTTGGAGTCTCAGGGCAACACACGTCAAGCTCGAGTTCCAGGCCAGGAACGTGCTTGGGGAGGTTGTGACAGGTTATGGGAGGTGGGCGTGAGACGGCTAAGGTGGAAAAGGCGGGTGGGTGCACTGTGGAGGTCGAGCCGACGCGGGCAATAACAATTGGAATTTTGAGGTGGAATGCAAGGCCAGGCCTTTGATTTCCTCCGCGTCAATTTGCGGCCAGCTGCAGTGCAGCTTGTGCCAAATAGGCTGCTGGGTTTCTAGAAAGACCGGCACGGTGGGGGAGGGAGCTCTTCGAATGTT